ACCGTCAGATTTTGAGGGAGCGTATTTTGAAGAGGAATATTTTGTGAAAGGGGTTGTTGTGGAAAATGTTGAACTCGTTTTGGAAGCGACTTTTATCGTTGCTTTTATTCGTTCTACAGGAATCCTATGCAAATTTTTTTCGCCCCGTGTACACAATTTCTTCGCTCTTATAGCAAAAACACGCCGCTTTTCATGAAATATTCTGATTATGATTCGTTACTTGTTCATCGTGCGATGTCTTGTTCTCGTTTTTAATTTAGCGAATCCGCCGGTTAACCCATGAAAATGTTCATTTTGGATACGCCTTTTATTATATCGCGAGCATATTTTTAGAAGTAGGTCATAATAACCAAAAAATGATATCGAACAGAATGAAGAATATTGGAAGAGACCACCGAGACAAGAGTCGTTATTTTTTGTTTCAATAAGGGGTCGTATGTACGGGAATCCGTGATCGATAACTTCTTTTCTCGCACTCGTTTCGAACACGTAAACCTTTGAATTATGATTTCGTAATTTGCGCGTGTGCACACACTTTGCCGCTGCTTTTGTCACGACTGCTACACTTCTGATGGTTATTTGTTGTCTTGTTCCTTATTCCACGATATTCTTTCATTTAGCCGTACAAACATTTTCCTCGCTACTTTTCTCCTGACGCGACGGTTCATTTCAACTCCGTGTATCGCAAAATCGTCGTACCGGGGCCGAGAGATTTACTAGATTAGGAAAGTCCCAGGGTTTAAGATTACCTTCTGTCAGATACAGCCGCGAGTCCTTGGAGTGTGCTTAAAAAACACAAGAGAAGTCAAACACAAGAGAAGAAGGAGAAAACGGGCTGATATTCGATGTAGAGTCGATCATTTTATTTATTAATTTCTATATTATTTGATTTTTCTTATAATTAAAGTCCTTTTCCGTAATTTTACTCGTGGTCAGAACTTTGGAAATTTTCTAAGGGAGCACCATAAACAGCTACAAGTATATAAAATAATTAATGTAGCGTGCAGTTATTATGTAATTAGCGAAATCTGCATTCACGACCAGAGGTTAAAAGTACGCGCTTTAAATATAAATGCGACTTACACAAATTTATGCAATGATGTTTTTACCTTTTTCCGCATTTAATTCCCTTTATGACTGGAATTTTCCCGAATTCAAATTACGTTTCTCCGAATATACACAAGCGCATCAATTGACTAACGAGATAATAAATACTACCAGAGTAATAATCTTTTAATTAAAGTGCATCGAGTTATCTCCTTTTAGTACGATTCTGAGAGATCGGCAAATTTACAATTTAGTCGGTTATAATTTATCTCTTGTTTGTACGATCGATATTCGGGTGCGATAAAGCGTGTTAAAAGGTCCATCGTTTTCATCGAAACGCAGTAAAGTTAAACGCGATGTAGGTAGACGAATTATAACGAACGGAAAGTAATTACTATGTCATTGATTCAATTGTGTTTAATGATTAGCCAGTAACACGTGTTATAAAAGTTCTAATTCGTTAATTAGCGTGGCCGGGATAAGCGATGACCTTCCTATTCTATACCCGTGAAATAGGCGTGGTTAGCTATTGATCTCTTGATCGAGGTAAACTTTACGATGTTCTTGTAACCATTGTGTTCGGTTAGGATCAATTTTCAATAATGGATGCACTTTGCTACATCGGTCGAAAGAGGTAGGCAGATTAATTTCACGAGTCAAAAACTTCTGATCGATATTTCGCTCGTTTCATTTCAATAACAGATGATTCTGTTTCGTTCGTCGAATAAGTAGAATGTTTTATTCGGAAATAATCGAATATTCCATTTCAACTTTCTATTGTTTGTTAAGATATCGGGTCTCCGGTATACGATTCAAGATTGAAACGTCCAATTTTTCGACGCATCAAAGTTTCAGGCTGTATATGCGGTTTATATCCAATCTAAGTAATCGTAACAAAGGGAGGCAGTAAGGAGAACATATAGGCAGCAAGAATTTAAAGCCTCGAATCCAATAAATCAGTTTAACGTGGATGCTGGATGAAGTTGGAGCGTTATACGAGAAGTTTGGATAGCTCTTGCCATGGACGAAAATCAAACTGCGTAACTGTTCTCGAGTCGAACGAGCGGATTTATCGTTCGTTTACGAATCTGCAAGTTATCGATGTAAAGTTCAAACTCTCCAGCAGATACTAATAGAAGCACCTTCGTAGACTACGAAATTGAATGTAAAAAATTATTTATCGGTTTTTCGGGACGAAGTCGAGTTAATAACCGGGAAACGGTGATGTCGTATATAAAAATGCTTCCAATTTTAGGATCGTTACGTAACGTTGTAGCAATATATCGCGACGGGTGGCACGATATTGGGCCATCATTAATCACTGCCTTTTACCGATCGTATACTCAATAAAATTCACGTTCCGCGGTTGCGATTAACTTTTTCTCGTTGTCGAGTACCATTATTAAGAAGGTACGCGAGAATCAAGGACGAAAGAAGACTTTATCGACTATACTTAAGCTTTATCTCGAGTAATTTAGCGAATGTTAATAGCCAGAGGCGGGACAGAAAGAACAGATACCGTTGCAAAATGTTTCATTCGGTAGTCGCTTCGATAATCTATCGGTAGTTTATCGACGATCGGTTAATCGCTATTTTCCTTAACCTTTTACGTAAGCTCACGCGTTTCCCAGATTGCAGGAGTAGATGAAATTATGCAACGATTGGCACCTTAACCGAAACTTCTCTTTCAAAGCGTCAGATTCGTTTGACGTTCGCATTTCGAACGAGACATTCGCGATGTAATAATAGCGAATAAAATTTGCCGACTTCAACGAGAGACTATTAAGATCTTACGCGTCGATTTTATCTCGCGAACAGATTGCATCGAGTCGGAGTTTCATTAGAAACGGACTGGTATATCTTTTGTTGAAAGTTAATTAACAAAAGGAGTTTCCTTGTTAACAAGAAGCATAGTTCTTCGTCCGGATCAGTGTCAAGTACCGTCGAGTGCTATTGGAAGGAACATTTAAGCCTTTCATTCAATTTATGCACCTGTTCTCCTCGATATCGCGATGGAAATTTTACTGGTACATTTCTCTATTCAGATTTAAATTGTCGCGTTAAATTTACCGAAAGTTTCGTTAAGAGGTAATTAGCTCGTTAACGACGATTCCGAGAATCCGCATTCGTGCCGATTTCCAAATTTCCTTCGATGAGTTAGAAATTAACGCAAGATTATATAAAGTTTCTACTAAAAAAGCAAACGTCCATATTGCGTTTGTTGCGAGTAGGCGAGCCAACAGCGGATCTGGCGCATTGTCCTTTTAAGAAAATGAAGCTCGACGTAGCCAACTCGTGTTTACAAAATAGTACTCTTCAGAAATAACGTACAAGTCTCGTGTCCGGCTTAGTCAGTTGCATGTTGTATAAGCCGATGCATAATCAGTCGGGACTCGGGTAGAAATAGTTCGACTACTCTTTCCACTCGGAGAAAATGAATTTTTTATCGTCGCATCGGACGAACAATGATCAGCGGCCGGACAGTGTTTACATCGAGGAACTTTCGTTTCTATTTGTTAATTAATTGAAAGGTCGGCTCGATTATAGACTACAGGAAACTGAAGGTTGATGCTTGAGTCAAGGATAAACACACAGGCGAAGAGAGAACGGTTGTTCGAAATTTCGAGCCAGTGTACCGTAACCCGTGAGCTAGCTAGTATCGTGGGTTGAATTTATTCCGCGAAACGGCAAACATGCATTGTAAATTGTAAATATAAACCAACGGGATCTTGATGGATATGTTTGATAAGAATATTTAGCTTCCGAACGTTTATATCTGTGCAGTCGCGAGTGTAAATTATTGTGCTTTAGTGACAAATCGACGTTGAAAGGGTATTAGCGGGTTGATGATGATGGGGGTTGCCGAAGGAAAACAGTGTTACACGTGCGATTAAGATCGTACCAATTTCGTAAGTTACGCATACATGTGCAAGTTATAAATTATTTTCTTTTTGTTAATTACTAAATCGTATGAAAATTAATGTAATTGTACGGTAGTGAACGCGTTAACAATAGATCCTCGGAAGATAATCGGATTAAGGAGTAGCGTTCCTGGCGGGCAAGACGGAAGAGGATTTCCATGATCGTATTAGCTGGAGTGTGACAACCTGACGCTGGTTGCGCACCGAGCTCGAAGAATCTCGTTGTTCTAATTTACTGGAACGAAGCGTTTAGCGCTTAACGTAACACGCGATCGACGTTCCCGTTCAATGTTCAGAGACGGTTGTTTTGTCACCGTGATGTATCGCCTTCTAGTTATTCTGTCCGGCGTTACAAATGTTGTCGGTGTTCGCGATCGACGCTGAAATTAATCGAGGTCTTCGGACAGCTGAATTTAAAGTGCATTCGGTTGCAAGTGACGGAAATGCGATTAGTCCAGAAACTCTGCGTTGACACGCGTTAGCAGAATGATTCGTTAAATAGTTAATTAACGACGAGCGGAACTTATCGCTACGCAGAATTTCAGCTTTCGGATACTTAAATACTCGCTAATTAACAGGAGCTATCCCCAAATATCGCTATTCAATCCTGCTACACATTGTGGCGAGCTTACGCCCTCAAATATTTGGGGGCTGTTACTACGCTAAGGGCTGCAGTTAAGCAACCTGATACGTTCAATTTACGCTACGCGCTAAATACTTGCTAATTAACTGTAGCTATTCCCGAGTGCCCCATTCGGATACGTTAAACACTGTGGCGAGCTTAACCGGTCAAAATACGTGCTACAATATTATCTAGTAATTAAACCGAGGACTGCCGTAAAGTTATCCGATAATATTTAACTACATGTATGTTACGCGTTAAATGCTTGCCAATTAACCAACGCTGTTTCGAACTATCGTAGATTTCGAAATGTATATATTTCTGTTTTATCGGATTAAAATCATTGGAATTTCAGGCGTCACGTAATAATTTGTCCGGCTAATTAACAGTGTTTCCTTTGTCGTGTGCAGGTGTTAGGAGGACTAGGACGCAGAATGTCGAGCGGCGACAAGGCTTCACCGAGCCTGACCATCGATCGCGCCGCATTTCTCCTGCTGAGGGTGAAGAAAGCCTTCAGGAAGAAGAAGCAACAGCGAAAGGAGAAGAGGTGAGTACTCTACCAGCTTTCCATCCTTTTCAAACGTTTCGCGAAAAACAACGCCTTCGGGCGTGAAAAATGCTGTAACAAACGGACGATCATTTAGAAAACTCCTTGGTTTTTTACGGCCGCGGTAAAAGCACAACAAGGATAATGTTCGACATAGTAGATCTTACAAAATTCTTCCGTAACGTGTAGTAACATTCCTTCGTTTTATTACGCGTTATCAACGTTCTCGGAGCATTCTTCCTCGAACGAGCTCCTCTTCCTTACACTGGGAATTATTTATGAGGCAATTCGCTACGTACGTCGTCGTCCCTTTCGCAGCGGTCGAACTTAATATACAGTTACATATTTTCACGATATTCCGGCTAGTCGTTCAATCTGAGGGAGTTTAATCGAGCCATCGAAGCTTGCAAAATCATCGGGCGTGGTTAGGGAGGCGTGGAACTTCTTCAGATTTTCTATAAACGCGAAATGCAACAGATTGGAATTTCTGCTTCCCTCTATCAAAAAGTGTCCGTCTTCCGTGAAAGGGGCTTTAGAATTTCAAGCTGCTAAGCGTGTTCTACTCGTGTCGCGATTACCTCGCGTGTGTTTCATTCGAAGAAATTACTAAGAGGTGTTTTATGGCTGAAAGGGTTAAACGTTCTACTCGTTCACGATACCAGTAGATTATCATGATTTCTATCACGTACGCTCCATTCAGAGGTTGAGCCCCGTAATTCGCGAGCAGAACCTTATACATTCTCTTACTAGAAAATTAACAAACGGTGCAGAGGCCGTCTAAGAGTCTGACATTTTCTGTTTGCTCATGATATTAATAATTCCCGACAAGCTATACTGAATATTCATAGCGCTTCGTATTCAGACGAACGCATAAAGTTAACAAACGTTCCGCGTTTCCGCCGTAATTTCCGTGCTGGAACTTAATTAAATGGATTCAAACGCGATCGAAGTTCGGTTTTTAAAAATACGATAATAGGAAAAGGTAGAGAGCATTAAATCGGTCTCGTTCGCTGTGAAGCGTGAAATCGAGATGCGATTGGATTTTGTTGCGAGGAATTTCAATCGATTGATATTCATTTGCCGGCGGGTGTTAAAATTTAACCGTCACACAGATTTCGCGCTTTTTCCACACAATCCAGGCATTAGCTTTATTAACTTAAACGTCGCGTTTCGAATGTTCACATTTATATGATAATTTCTGAAATTTGCAAATTTGAATCATTAAAAATTCCACGCATCTTCCTCGTTAGAAAATGGGCTTTCCTTTAGTATACTACGCTTTGATCACGATGTCTCCATCCGTGGAAGTATCGATAACGCGTTGTTAAGAATTTCCTGGCATCACGGTGTAACGCGTTAGTTAGGAAAGTTTCCGCTTTCATTCGTAAAGTCGACTGAACTGGTGGGACGAGTAGTTAGTATTTTCCAGCGAAACGTGCAAATTAATGTTTCCAGCAGAAGGACGGCACGCTAGATATGCGCTTATCTATACTTTGCAACGTAATCAACACGAGGTATCGAGGAACGATTTGAAGCGGACCTCCCGAAGCTTTGCTATTCAGGTCGCGCTAAAACTCGATGCTTCGTCGATTCGTGCTCACTGTGAGTGGCTGTCATGAATTTTGATAACCGGAAATCCGAGTGCACCGCGTCGAGGACCATCTCCGTGATAGCGGTACCGCAGCGAATCTGAATAGAAGAGTAGAATGCAATTTACTTTCGAAGAAACAGATAATGCAACCGGATCTTCTTAGATTTCATTTCTTTCCTGATCTTAACAATTTATGTTCGTTACCTCGTTTTTCTCTTCTTTTCTTCTTAAATATTAGTAACGCATAAATAAGCAGAAATTAATCCGGTAAATATTCAAAGGTAGTTTTACTAGTAGATTTTTGCAGGAGAATGTCGTTGAACGCGGCGCAAAGTTCGAAGATAAATACCGATGTCTGTGTCCGTGTAATTAACCGACTGTGGCTCTTAACGGTTGAGAACACGATCACGTCTGTTTGATTCCTAACGAACGAATATCCGTCGGATTATTCGACGGCAAAGGAAACACGGAAATTCCGTGACTCGAATATTCGCGACGCTACCTAATTCCTATCCCTGTGTAAACGATGTCACGACCCCGATTATTAATTAACCCGAATGGCGATCGCCCTCTCCGAGCTTCGTGTACCACTTTATCAAGGGGTGCGACAAAAAGCGAGAGGGTGTTAAGTGAATTATTACGCGGACTCGTCTCCCAAGAAACTTTGTCGCGATTCTTCCACTATTGCTAACGCATTTAATCGACCAGAGAAGAGAGGGAAATTCTTATCGAATTTCCGTGCCATCGCGTGTTTAAACATCGAAACAGACGGTTAATTAACCTTTGAACGCCGGGTAACATCGCCGGACAATAAAAGGAAATCTGCTCGTTTTCGCGTGGAAATACTCGACAGAATTGCATTTTTGGTTGGTGAATTTTACAAATTCCTGAACTTTAGAATCTCTAAATTTCCACATTTGGAAATTGAAAAACTCGAGCGTCCTCTTCGACTGGCACTTGACCTGCCCATCATTGGCTTAGCCGATATCGATAATCGGATCTTTCGTATAGATAACAGACCGTCCCTTCTTCATCCGTTATATTAAAAGAATTCGAGTTATGAAAGTCTAAGAGATATAGTCGATTCCAATTTTTCCAAGAATATTGCGGTTCAAGATATAATTCGGGTCTATCGATCCCTTGAAAAAAGGATCGCAAATTTATATTCTACAGCGCGCGGTGTAATATACTGAAAATTATTACGTAAAGGGTGCGGTGCAAATCGGTGAGCGCATCGGTAACGCGTTAATACCGACAATTTAATTATTTTCGATATAGCAATATGATACGAAAGGGATGGATACACTACCGTTTTTACGCCTAGTCTGCCAGGACCATTTATTTTCGGTTTAGTTTTCTATCAGTTGGCACGAGAAGCAGCAAGGGAGCAATCTCGAAAGGAGGTCGAGCAAAATCGAATGGTGCAATTTGCAGAAGACTGTAAGAAGATACAGCGAAGTTCGCTAGCATTCGTAAGATACCGAAATGCCAGTATTTCCGCGATCGCGCATGAAAACTGCTGAATACGTAGCGAACTTGCCTTTCTCTCCAAAATATTCGACTCTTTCGCGAAATAGACAGAGGAAATAGTGTTCGTAAAACCGTTGTACGCTTCTCAGCTACTTGTTAAATCTACGCGCTAGCGATTGTCTCAAAACGGTTGTAACGTAGACCTCTTTACTCGAATAATAATGGCGAATAAAATTACCGTTAAAACGTTTTCCATCCTCTCGAATGAGACGCAATCTAAAAAACTGATCGATCCATATCATGTTTTTTGCGTTAAACGGATAATCGTCTTCTTATACATATTTGCGTCGGTTACAGATGGAAAGTTTTTCTTGTGTCTACTTCGTGCTTTTTTGCCACGTACATTATCGAAACGTGGAATTCGTATTCGATTCGATTTTTCTACGATCTTTCTCCAGGAATAAATGCGTTTCCATCGAACCTCTTCGACGCGATAGCAAGAATGTACTTGTTCGCTGAAAAAGCAATTGTTTCATTTTTCTTTCGAAAAATATTGGAAAACGTTTTCGTTTCATCCGATAATTGCTAATATTTACTTTTTTTTCAACGAAGATACGAACTATCCTCGGAATTTTCTTGTACAGAATTTTTACGCTTTTTTTATGGAGCGGAGTCTACGTGTATTCATACTTCGACACCGTAGATACATATATTTGTATGTTAACATATCGAACGTTGATTAATTGCGCGAACATTCGTTAGCTCTCGTCCATTCAGTTATTTTATTCCAACGAGGTAAATGAATTAATTCGAAAGTGCTTTCAAGCAATTCTGACATCGACGCGATTTTTAAACAAAAATTTCGTTCGCCGCCGAATAAAAGAGAAACAAATAAAATTTCGTTCGTGAACACGATAAGTCATGATTTTATATTTTGATCCGACGCGTACATTAAAATAATGGTATTAAATTTCAATTTCCTTTTTCAAATAAAATATTGGTTTACAACATTGGTGTATGGAAAATCAAAGAGTAGTAACAAAGCCTTAATCGAATTGCTGCGTGTTCTTTGCCCTCAGTCTGGAGCCAGCCATTTTTCACGATGCCACGGATAATGCGGGAAGCAGTCGATTCTCGAAGGAAACGTAACACGAACATTTCTTATAAAGCTTTGGTAAAACGTTACCCACGTGTCTTTTCGACAGACAAGATAATTCCAGAAATATTTCTTCGCCAATGCACCGTGTAATCGTGATAAATGCTCTTCTGTTCTCTATCGACAAGTTCACTTCCATGGGGGCTGGCAATAACTCGTATCGGAAATGTATTGTAATCGAACAATTAACACGCTGAGTACCGTGTCACCTACATTTGGGAAACGCTCTAACTTGGGAGGAACATTTTCGCTTATCCGGCAGCGAGAAAGTTTATGACATATTTCTACGTATATTCGAGGACAGGATTTTTTACGAATTTCACGCTCAAATTTCGTACGATTGAACTTTAGTCAATTGCAGACGTTCAGATTTTCCTCTTATAAAGAAATGTCACTAGTAGTGGTCTGTTTTATGTCAGAATGTCACAGTTGTCAGTGTACATAGTTAATACTATGCAATTACTCTTAACGGAACGTATATCTGAAAAGCCTTTTTTCTCGAGAGTCGTATTCTCGTAGCGAAAATTGCGAGGGAACGAATTGCTGCTTCTTAACTCGTTCCACTTTTTTTTCTCAAGATCATCCTCGAAGCGGACTAACCCTAATTGCCATTGTCACAGGATTGTCACGGTCACGGGGAAATAAAGCGAGGACAAAGATGTCTGAGAATTTGATGATTCTGTAATGTTCTGCGGTTGTGCGAAGACAAGTTTGCGCATCTTTTCTCCTGCACTTTTTATTATTCAGTCCGTCGCTATTCGATCGATAAATTTACAGAATGTT